AGCCTTTCGCCTATCTTTCTGGATGCATGTTTTTCAAGTTCTACTGCTCTTAATGAGGATTGAAGGCATACTTATTAAACAACTCACAGACATTAAGAATGTCACCGACTGCAGTTTTGAGGTTAATGACTTTGCATCAGAGATATTATGATCCAGAGAATTCTAAGGGTCAGTTCTAATACAACTGTTAACTCTGAGGGAGATTACTGGGCCTAATGCAAAAGCCACCAGGTGACAGTCAGCAATGTACCCCTCTGATGCTTTCATATCTGCTACAGCTCAATAAGATGGACCTATAGAAAACCCACTTCACAGTTCCGGAAGAAAAGTAGAAGCGTTAAACTGTGAAGAGATAACTCTGACTTTGGGGAGAAGCTTCCTGTAAAAATGCCACATTATTCCATTCTTTTTTGCCCACTTTATTCCATGAAGCTATATGAATTGCTTACAAAAATTTGGTCCAAACCTTTCTGAGTAAAAAGAATTTCTGTCTTTCAGCACTTTCATCTAGACTCACTGTTTGTAGTCTTTAGACAGTAATACATTAAAGCCATAGAAACCTAATAAATAAAACATATCAATAAATTATATATCAATGTAAGAAACTGTCCATATGCCAAGATAATTATGAAGCAGTTATTTTACCCTTCAGAAAAAAATGGCGTGGTTTAAAATGATTTGGAAAATCAAGAAAATTTGTTTACTTATGAGACTCAATATAATTTTAATGTAAAAGATGCAAACTTAGAATATTTCACTATTTGCTCTTACACAATTACTTGCCATTGTATTTATAAATACTTCAGCAATGGTTAAATGCAGTTGTAACAACATGAGTCTATACACTGAAAAAGTTAGAACTTCTCTATTATTTCCTATCCACATATACTGTGAATCAAAGTATCAATAAAAGTTTGCCTTAGTTTTATTGGTTGGGGATTTTTGTTCAGTTGGTTTTCGTTTTCTGACTGACTGATGAGAGATCCCATCTACTCTTAGGTCACCATTTTGTCAGTTGTCAGCTCATTTGCAGGTTAAATTTAACGACAAGAACTTGCAGAAAAAGCCTTCACTCAGAACAGAGCGCTGAGTTCGTTACCCTTCAGAATTCTAAGAGGACAGAAAATATAAAAATATCTCTCAGTCTTCTAGTGAATATTTGTGCAATACATGTCACTTGAGATTTTTGGAATAAGAAGCCCTTGCAACCTTTAAACTCATGTACTATTGCATCCACTGCTTATCAAACAACTCCTGGGTCTCTCATGTCACACTTAAGACAGCAAAAGGAACACGAATTCACTTCTAATTTGGGAACTTTTCCATGTATCTCAAGAGAAGATTTGTGAGCACATTCCTAAGGAAAACTGCTTATTTGTCATTATATGTTTCACATGTAAGTACTGAAATGTCAAAGAAACAGCATGGTGAACATTTGAAGTGTTGGCACCTCTCGTACACTTTCTATACACGATTCATGTTACAGCTTCGTAATCTCAGTTCCTTTCCTTATTCCTTGCGCTCTCCATCTGGATGCTTTCACATTCATTGTCAGAAAAGTCCTCTCTCTGGAGGACACCCCCACTTGGGCCTGTTGCTGTTTCAGGTGTTATGCACCTGCTCTTTCTCCACTACTCACATTGTGAGTAACCTAGTCCTTTGGCAATTATTAATTTAAACATCATAAAAACCCTTTTCCACTAACAAAACACAATAAATAGATACAGTTATTCTTTCATTACTGTAATCTATGGCCATCTGAAAATATTTCACTCAGCTGACAGAAATGATGTAAAATTCCCATTTCCTTGAAGTAATAAATGGGAAGGTGTTTTTCAATGGAATAAAAAAGAATAGCTGCCAGATGCAGCTTTGGAGACTACCATCTACCAGAAATCTGAGACCGTCATGGGATGTAGACTTGCGCTCCAAGAATGCAGACAACCAGGCTAAAGGAGGTAGTATGGACACTGAGCGGCAGTGAGAGATTCAGAGCAAAGCACTTTCTCAGCAAATAGAGCCCTCATTTCTGCTGAAAGAGCACTTGAACAAAGGGTAAGTGAGAAGAAACCAGTCATCTGCAGACTTTTCCTATGAATTTTTACTCTGGTTCATTTAGGGGGAGTACAACTCCAGCTCCCCAAACAGCCGTGGTTCTCTGGGGCCTGCTTGCCTCCTGCTGAAATCAGAGCACAGGAGTAGGGCTGGCATGTTTCCACATCTCATCAGGCTCAGGCACACCACTGCCCTGGGAGGCACAGCATTTGTACTGCCTATGGGTACGTACCGCTCCTGCCTAGGACAGTAACAAGTGCTATTGGCTGGGGGAGCTACGGCCCAAAATACCAGACGGTAGACAAACTCTGCTCTCATTGAAGACATTGTAAACACTTCCATTGATTTCTCTGTGGCAAGAGCTGGGGTTGTGTCTTCTATTATTCCATCCTATATGAAGATTTAGAAATATTTTTTTGTCATATAGTCACAAGGAATAATTGTACCTGCAATTAAGTCCTACTGGCAGGTATAGCCAAGTTCTTTTCTGGCTCATTTAACCTTCCTAATGCCAGATTTCATACGGAGGTTTCTACAAAGCCTATATAGTACTGTGTCAAACACAATCCTTTCCCATACAATAGAAATTTTTTTTAGGATAAATACCAAAGCAGGCAAATGTAAAATTGAATTACTGTAAGGAATTAGGTAAAATGCTACTGCTTAAAAACAAAAATAGCAAGTAAGCAAAATCGTGAAGAAACTGTGTTTACATTTCTGTAACATTTGGGACTATGTTCTGTTGGCAGGGAATTTTCTGTTTCCTTTCATTAGCAATTTCAAAATACAGTACAGATTATCCATTATATGGTTTTCACTCATATCCTGATATGGATGCACAGGCAGAATGCTTGTGCAGATCTATAAATATATTTGATCTAGTTGTCTTCTAATATTAAGCCTGACAATACTTCCTAAGAAGATGCTGAAAGGATGTGGAATAACTGAGATTTAAAAGCATTGCTTCTTCAACAAGCTTAAAGACATGGTCTGTAACCAACCTCTAACCCTGCTGAGACGAGACAGCCTTTAATTCTGTAAATTCTGTCCCACCAACACATACAAGCAGCTCAACATAATTGAAACAGTTTTATATTAACTGTGTTGTCAGAAAGAACGTAAACTATATTCTCTTCAGCCCTGATTACCTTGAAATTAGTTTGATGAGAACAAACTGACATATTTTTGTCTGGCGCTAACAGCACTTCCAATGGCATAAGGAAAATAAAATTCTGTATCCTGAGGAATATCACAGTAGTGCTTACAATAATCACAATAAGTTTTATTGTTTTTTATGCTAAGCTTTCATATGAGTGATACTACTGCTAAATTTTAGTTGCTTAATTTTCATTTGTTGTTGTCTTAATTGCTATAAACAGCTCAGATATGCAGTTCTAACAAAGTGTGTTACAAAAACATGCTTAATATATGCCTTCAATAATTTCTTTGTTGTTTGAAAACTTTTAACTTACAGCAAAGCTGGCATTTTATGGCTTGCAGAGCTATAAATCATTTTTAAAATCATGATGATATTACTCAAAGCAGATGTGAAAACATATGTTTGCCACGGTTGTATAAACTGCTTACTTGTCATGCTTAATAAATGTTGATACTTTTATTTTAACTACATTCCTTCTTAATAACTTTGCAAATGTTTTCCATGGTAAATATACTTTGCCTTAGTGAAAGCAATGTCAAGTTTTGAAAAATAAAGCTTGTATACAAATTACATATATATTTTTCGCTGAGCATACATCACACTCTTCAGTAACCGTCCATATCTGAACATGAAAATTGTTCAACGCATTTGAGGTGCACCAGAGCCCAAAACAACTATGCAAAGAGAATACTATTACTACTAGGAACAAAATACATACTGGAGTGGTAAAAATCCTTGAGGTGTAATAACACTTAAATGGGGTGACAGGCTGGGAATTTCAGAAGGAAAATACAGACTGTACCTCCTACTGGTGCAGTCCACCATTACAGGGTGCCTGTATTTCTATAAAACAGAGATTCCTAAAGGAGATACAATACAGGTCCACCACACTGCCTAATGTGAAATTCCAGGATTGTATGAAATCACCTTCAAAACGTTGGATGCACATCGTTAATGCTTTTCAAATTTTGACGTTTGTCCCATGATAAGTCAGAATGTTTCAGTTCTGAAGCCATGGGATTACATGAAAACTGCATCTTCACGTGCCAAAAAACCAACTACTTTCTAGTTCTCAGGGACAAACTTGACCTGTGCTGGCTAAGCTTAAAACTGAACACTTGATTTTGTCTTGTTGATGATAACTCTAATTTCTTATGATTTTGTCTAGCAATATAACTGATTTTCTTCTAATTTTATTTACGAGGAAACAAAATGCCACATTCCTCCTCCATGCGTAGCTGCAGATTCTACATCTCTGCAGCTGTGCCCCAGGCCTTACCTGAATACACAGACATACTAACTTTCTCCAACTCCCACCAAACAGTGCAAGATCAGAGGAGGCATTTCCCTGCCGACAGGACAAACACTATAGGCTAAACATCACCTCTTCCCTTACTTGCCTCTTATGAGATCAGGTAGCATTCTTAAACATGAAAAATGGCTTATTTCCTTCACTTATGAACCAGTATTAGAGTAGCTTGCACGCACATCTACTGCAGGAAGAGAAACAATATCATGCGACTAATCAAATAGTTGCTAAGAACTGCATAAATAATTGAGAAAAAGAATGGCAAAATATTACTCCATAGGATATAAATAGATGGAAGCAAAGACCTGATTGTTTACTCTTCCTAAGTAGAAGGCGATCTAAACCCAGTGATACATTATTCATTGCAATTAGGCACTTGGCTTTCTTAGATTTACAGTATTACACAGAATAGTAAAAAAGAGAATAAAGCATATAAGTGTAATTAAATGCCTGAGATAGAAAGAAGTGCAGTTATACCTTTCTCCTTTTGCAATTTTTTTAGGCTTGTCCCGGTTTCTTGATCAATGAGCTCTCCTTCCCTGCTGTTGGTCAACATAGCTAAAAAAATGAGAGTGCACAGCAATAAAAGAACTGTCATTTAAAAAATGTCAAAAGAGGAAAGCAGTAAATTATACTTTTTTCTTATTATTATTTTGATATTTTAACATTTATTCACACAAGTTTTAAAGCAGGTAACCACATCTGTTGTCCATAAAGCTCCCAATTCAGCAATGATAAAGCGGAATATGTAGCTGAAGCAAATTTGCTCAATTTGATTAAAAAAAGACACCAAGACAGAACTAGAATTACTGAGAACAACTATTTTTTAGAAGAGAGTTCAAATAAAAAATTTAGAAAAGTACTTCACAGAAATTCATTTTGGGAAAAAACGCGTTTAGTAAAGCAAAGGATGTAAGTGTTAGTAATTATCTGTAAAGCAACAAGGACAATTAAAAAGCTCAGATGCATAGAAAGTAGCCCAAACCAATAGATGAAAGTGAAAAAAAACATACTTCATAGTGTGAAAAAAAATTCTTAACATCTACCAGATCAGTGAGACATGCTAAGCTCATGCCTATTTTCTTCGTTTCCTTCTATGCAATTAACCAATTACAGAATTTAATATTTCTTTAACAAGACTTGTGAAAAACTTGAAAAACTGGTAGAAGTAAAATAAATAAATAAATAAATACTTATTAAATACATAAAAATTTGTACGTTTCATTTTTATTTTATTTAAAAAAACCTTTCACTCCTACTGCTGGAGCTCAGAGGATAGTACTGTTTGCTATTACTGTTAACAAAACAAGTTACAATAGCTTTCAAAAACTACAATAAGGGAAAAAAAAATCACTTTTTCACTGTTAAAAGGGAAGCCCTATTTTACATACATGGAAGCTGAAGGGCATCTACTTTCTTGTTCTTCCCTTGTGTATGCTGTGTTTTGTCCAAGCAGCCCAGTTTCTATTGATTAGTTTGTCTACTGTCAACAGAGGTATGTAGTGCAATGGTGCTGCAGCACGGACCATGGCAAAAACTCCAAAATCCCAGCAAGCTGCTGAGTAGTAATTTGAAGGCAGTGAAGCTCACAGTGACTGCCAAGAACTGCACTGCTTTTGTAGTTTAAATCTAGCTCAGCAATGTCTGCAGAGGTTGCAGTCTCTGTGAAGACAACAGTGTTGACACACATGGAAGTAAGGAGATGATAACTGACTTGCCCTAGATGCCTCCTGGAAGAATCAAGAATAGAATCCAAATTTCCTCCAGCCCAAATTTGCATTTTAAACACAAGATCAATAATGTACAGACTGAAAATTGTTCTTGAGAGAACAAAAAATACATATATATCAAAACCTCTCAGCTTCATGGCAGTGAGTGAATGTCTGGCCAACAGGAGGTTTTTATAGTGTAAAAATCATTGTATGTGTGTTTTCATAGGATTTGAAACATATCCTGCTATTTTTCAACTCCAGGTGGTTTCAGAGTCACTTTCTCAAGCCAGCATGCAAGATCAGTGAGTCACACCATAGAAGGGGTGGTATCTTCTGTGCATGGGTAGATACAGACACAGAATGAGAGGCTGGGCTCTGTGTAGTATTGAATCTAATACAAAAAACTATAGTGAGGAGCTATCTGGTCATTTTTGGTGGGATTTTTTGTATGTTTCTTTCTGTTTTGGAGAAACAAAACAGAAAGGGGCTTTCCTGAGTTTCCCAGTAAATAAGGTATTTACTTCAAAAAACTGCTAAAATTTGTGAGGTCAGCAACTGTCATGGGGCGTGAGGCTGCAGAGCACTAACCAATTCTGTCTGGTGTGTTGTCCAGCTGGGAAGGTGAGCTGGACACGCTGCTGCTCTGATGAGAGGAAGCATGGCTCCCAGGCCGCTGACTCTCTTCTAGGGATGGAGCTGGAGAAGGGCTGTCTTGAATTCTTTCCTTGAAACAGAAATAAAACAAGGTCTGTGCAATTTGATTAGTAAACTTCACTGAAGTTCAATTAAAAAAAAAAGAAAGTGGCTAAAATAAAAATAACAAATAGTCTTGCTAAGATAAACAGTGAACAGAATTCAAATCAAAAGAGTAGTACAGCCTTCAATACTCAAGAAGAATATAATCTTCTACATGCGATGCATCTAGACAGTTTTTCATCCTTAGGGTCATGACACAGCACTTACCACCTTTTTTTCTTTCATAAATCTAACATTTTCACACATAGGAATATAGAGAATATTTTTTCGCATGGTTTGTACAAACTAATTTTACTCTACAGATATTGAAATTGGCATGTATGAGTCACATGTCACATAAATAAATCAAATTTTGACAAACTGGCACTAAGCACAGTCAGATTTGTAAATTCGCAAGAAAAATCACTTCTTGTCCTTAAATATACCACGAGTGTCTTCTGAAGGCAGCACACAGACCAATTTTAAAAGCCACGACATTGGTGAAGGCAGGTTCACTTTCAGATGAGAAGGACCACAGACCAACAAAAACAAGACTGCTTGTAAATTTTTATGTGCACATTTTTACACAAAACTTTGAGACTGAAGTGTAACTTAAATATACACGGTGCTCTAGGGAAGGGGAAGAAATTGAGAAGAAATTGTAAAATTTAGTAAAATGAAGTTCCATAGTCCTGCCTGTCTAAACTTGAAGACTCTGGAGAACTTATGGAACTTCCACTAGTACAAATTTTTGCTAACAGGTTAGATGAGTAATTATTCATCCTGTCTTGAGGAAAATGCTTGATGGGTCTCTCCACTTGAGACCCATTCCAACCCAACTAGTCCACATGCACTATTCTCAGTTTATTCAAAATGCCAGTCCCCCTTTTCATCATTGCGAAGATCAATGAAAAATAGAACTCTTCTCAAAGGGGCAGATCGTGGCCTGAGATACTCTAGATAATCTTATTTTAAATTTTACATTTTATGTCCTTTGTTACAAGTAAGAAAGTCTTTAAAAGCATAGTTTCAGTGGAGGGACACTAACAAGAAGAAGCCCAGAAACTGCATCTTTGCAGCTGCCCTCATCTGTGGCAATCAGCTGTTCCCAATGGAAACACAGAACTGAAATATGAGTGATTTTTTTAAAATTTAATTTTTTAAGGGAGATCCTCTTGCCCCATCCCTTTAAAAACCACAATTACATTTACACTGTAATCTGGTGAAGTTTTCTCAAAAGAACTTGGCAGTTTTTCTGCCTTTCTAATCTATTTCAGATTTTTCAGTAAGAGTATGCAATCTGGCTACTTGGTGGCAATTTTCCATGCGCTTCTGAAAATATGCTCAATAGCATTCAAACTTTTAATGCAGTTTTGCTAGATACTATGCTGAATCAATACTATAGCTTTAGGAAGAGAACACTAGATTCTCATAGCTTCTCCATTACCAATAGCTAGCATAATAGCTTCTGTTCATAACCTATTGAGGCAATTCATTAATAACACTGGCAGTGGCATCGACATTTTAAGAATAGTATTATCCATTAAAACTATCTCTCTAAAGCACACTCACCCTCATGTTTACAGACACAACTGAGAACAATGCGAAGGGAATGTGAGTGGATACTTCTAATAGCAAGGGGTGGTGTTTGTCTATTCCAATCACACCAGCCAAAAATGTAGTAATAAATGTGTTTTTAATAGGATAGTTATTGTACATTAAATAACAACTGAGCTTCAAAATCATGTAACAGATGTGTATCTATTACATAGCTGTTAATCCTCAATGGAACTGTTCTCACTAATTATCTGTTATTTAATGAATATACAATAACAAATAAATCTTGGAGGGAGACTATTAATTGCAGTATTTTTGAATGTTAATTAAAATATTTATTAAGTTTTTACAAATTAACCTACTACATGTTGAGTTATAAGATCTTAAAATTTTTAAAACTGAATAATTTTAATCCAACAAATTCTCAAACTTGGGAGAAAAAATGGAAAAGCCACTCATCTCAAAATGGTCAATGTTTTATCCTTGGTCTTCAAAAGACTGATCTGAGAGGTTGCTGAGATCAGCAAAACAGAACACAGATATGATTTACTGATCAGTAAATGACATTTAAAAGGTTACATCAAGAAGAATTCTTCTAGGTATACGATGAATAATACACAAATAACTGACATATCTGCCTCAGCCTGTACAAAGCATGCAACTGCCCTGCACAAAATTTTGGCTCTAATTTGGAGAGATGTTGTTTGAACAGATGGATCATTCTGTCAGTAAGGACTTGGCTGGATGTTCACACTCAGAGAATTGTGAATCAATGGCTTAGTGCTGAGGTGGAAACACTGATGAGTGGTGCTCCTCAGGGGTTGATTCTGGAACTATCTGTGTCTTTGCTGGTGACACTGACAGCAGGGCTGAGGGAACCCTCAGCAAGTTTGCGAACGACACCAAGCAGAGTGGAGCAGTTGGCATATTGGATGGAAGGGATGTCATTCAGAGGGATCATGACAGGCTTCAGAGAAGGGATGAGCAAACCTCAGTAAGTCCAACAAGACCAAGAGTCTGGGTTGGAGCAATCCCAATCATGAATACAGGCCAGGCAATAAGTGTATTTAGAACAGCCCTGCAGAGAAGGACTTGGGGGCGCTGGTGGACGAAGAACTCAGCATGAGCCAGCAATGCATGCTTGCCGCCAGGAAAAAAAGCTGTATCCTGGGCTGTATCAAATCAAGTGTGACCAGCAGGGCAAGGGAGGTGATTCTGCTCCTCTGCTCGTAAAGTTCTGAACGGAGACAAGTTGTGGATGCCCATCCATGCAGGTCTTCAAGGCCAGGTTGGAAGGGGCTTTGGGCAGCCCAGTCTAGTGGGTGGCAACCCTGCCCATGACACGGTGGTTGGAAGAAGGTAAGCTTTAAGGTCCCTTCCAACCCAAGACATCCAGCGATTCTGTGCAACACTTACATATTTTACATTTATGTAAATAACAGCCTTGAATAAATAACTGGTTACAGCTAACAGGCTACAACTCTGACTGTAATTCTATTTGCCTGGATTTCAGTTTTAACAATCCTCTTTGGCATTACATTCTTTTTGTGACCAAGAGTACTCAATTTACAATTAAGATACAATTTTGAAATGATTAATCTTACAGAAGAGCGCAGAGTTTAAGTAAATTTTCTTGTCTACTGCAACTATGAAAATGAATAGCCAAGGAGAAGACAAGCCAACTGTTCAGCAAAAAAAAAAAAATCCAAACCACCTACGAACAAATATGACGACGAATTAACACAGTTATCACACAAACAGCCATATAAGTCACTTTAAATGAGAGTTATTTGAGTAATTCAAAAGCTGATGATTTAGAAAAGCAAAGTATTCTAGCTTCTTCTGATAACTGTACATTCCATTGTCTCTTGCTATAAAATAATTTCTGCTTAAAGTAATTTGCCTTCAAACTTGGGGTCTTATTTAGAAATGTTCAGGCAGAAATAAACGTGTCAAATAATGTCATTCTTAATCATACAGTGAATCACTTTCTAAGAGGGTAAGTTGATTATGCCATCTAATATCTAAATGGTTACAAAAATTCACATGTACTGGGAAGATGCACTTTCCCCTACATGTAACAAAGGAGCTGAAATTTTCTCTGTATTTTATGTACTAGAAATGAGGATATAGTGTAATCATGTCAGACTCCGTATGGATTGAGAAACTGTCTATTTCTAAATGTTTGCGTGGAAGTATAATGCTGAATTTCTCCTACTATAATGAATAACACTATGAACAGATATATTCCTTTTTTTCCTCCAAGTAAACACATCCATTTTTCAGTCCTGTAATCAGTATGCATCTATTTAGCTACTTAACAGCAATGTGCTCTGGTTCATTAGGTAGCTACTGTTGTGTCTCAGCCTAGTTAAAATTTCACAGCAAGTTAATCTATTTTATTACAAATGAGAACACAAGTGATAATGTCCTCACCATTTTCCAAACACAGGGTTAACAGTATTTGTAACAAATCAATGAGGGCATTTAAATAGGAAAATTGCAAATCTAAAACTTTAACATTTTTTACACATTGATGACTTCATTTTATTTGTCATTTATCTATTTTACAACCTTGTTACTTTTCATGGATTTTACTTTTTTTCTTCATGAAATAGCTCAGTTCCCACTGGCACACTGCAGTGCAGCCTGGTTCTGCAGTTGGTATACATAAAACTGAGAAACATTTCTGAATAGCCAAATTTTATCCACTGAATTTCTTCATATTTTATAAATCTTCAGGATTCATACTCCATGTTATAATGTAATGAATTATATATGTATAATGTACAGATTGTGAGAATTTTATGAAAAATGAAAACATTTCTCAAGATCTCACCTATTTATCTAACTGTAGTACCCACTTTATCTTTTCTCTTTCCTTTACAGAGCTGTATCATAAATTCTCAAAAAAGACTTTTTCAGTATTTAATCCTTTTGAAGGGTAATATATTTCAGTCTTACTAAAAAATAGTGTCTTGCTTTGGCTTAGAAACTGTAGCTACAAAGCCTGACATTGTTAATTTTAGTTGTGATTTAGGTTAACAGCACTGAAGTCATCAGCTCTTGCAATTTCCAGATACATCCCTGATTTCACCTCAATACTCTTTTTCTAACCCCTGTGAGATGGTATTCCACACAAATAATGTGAAACACCAAATAAGATTTTTATCCTTACTAGTTTTATTAGAAATGTATACGAACAGCTTACCTATTTTTTAAATAATCATTTTGACCTTAATTCCATACCTCTGATTTTTTTTTATAGTATTGATCTTCGTTTTGTGTCAAGAGTTTTAAGAAATGATGCTGGGTTTTCTTCTATTTTTCTTTATACTTAGTGTTAATGTAGCTGTAATTACTCTTCCAAATGTTAATCTATTAATGAGTTCCTAGAGGAATTAATGGCATTTCACTGCTGACAAGTAGGAT